GCGCCGAGCGCCTCATCGGCAAGCCAGGCTACCGGGTGGCCCTCCTGCCGGCGGCCATCGACGAGAAGGGGCGGCAGCGGCAGTTCCGCCACCTCTATCGCCTGCAGGTCTTTCGCAAGCCGGCGATGGACATGGCCGAGCAGGCGACTGACTACGACATCCAGTGCTGCGTGCGCGTGTACCATGGACAGCAGCCGGTGTGTGCGGTGCCGTACGTGCCCGTCGAGAAGAGCAGACAGGCCGACAAGCTGTGTGCCACATGTCTGGTGCCGTGTGCTGGCGGTGGCGGCATCTGCGGCAAACAGAACACCTTCCGCAATATGGTCAACTCTCACCTGCGCAAAACACACAAACTGACAGAGGCCGACCTGCTGCAGGTCAGTGGACAGACAGACTCACATGGACGGAAACGCTCTCATTTCGCTGTGTGTGTGTGTAGGGTTTTGCTACCGTTCGCGGCCCATCGGTGCCGGAGACGCCCACCAACACACGTACACAACGAAGCCGCTCTCTCTATCGCTTATCATTCCACGGTGTCTCTCTGCTGTTGGTGTGCAGCTTGCCAGACCTTTTCGTTTGCCGGCATGGTGATCGACAAGACGCAGGCCGACACCTATGGCAGCCACATGTCGGCTGGGTCATCGACCACCGACACACAGACAATGCCGTGAGCACACACAACACCAGAAGCACCACAGATGCAGTCATCCCATTCCTCTGTGTGTGGTGCTACTGTCTTTGAGTGCAGGCCATCCCTCGTCGACGTGCTGCCGATCGGCGGCAAAGAGATGCCGCAGCCGCATTTGTCCGACATGATGCCTCTCGGCAGCTATGGGGCTGCAGCTGGAGTGACCGGCAATGTCAACCAGATGGAATTGTAAGCAGCACTGAATCAGCAGCGATGAGGACAGATGGGCAGATGTGTATGGTGGCATGTGCATGCAGGCCATTTTTGGACTACTACCAGCCGAACAGCAGCGACTCCTGGATGGCATCCAACAGCGACAATGAGGAGGACGGTAAACGGCACTGACGACACGAGGACAGAAAGGCGGCTCAAGTGAAGCGTCAGGTTCGATGATGTGCTCGTTAGGTTTTGGTGGCAGCGGGCTTGCTGCTCCGCCCCCGACGCTTAATGGCGGCTGCAAGCCCCTCGGTCGCGCAGATGAAGAGATCGACATTGTGATGCAGCAGGTAAGCAAGACACACGAAACGACCTGTGAGGGAGTTCAGCCGTCTGTGTGTGTTCTCGTTCAGTCGCTCGATGAGTGGCTGAATGTGCTCGGCTAGTCGTACCCAGTGAGTCGACACGTTGGAGACGGTTTTTTCTGTACGGGGATGGTGTATCGCGGTGTGCTCGAGTGCCTTGACCGAGTGCCGTGACGTTTTTACACCGATGACGCCTGTGTGTGAGCGTGTGTGGACGAGGGAACACTCATGGGGCGCATGTAAGAGTTTTCGGGGGAGTTTATATCAGTCTATCTGGGAGGGGGGGACGGATGAGAGAGTGATCGGAACAGTCCATGTCTGCAGTTGGCTCCGTATGCGAGACAACCACTGCATGAGGGCATGTGTGTGTGTGTGTGTGTGTGTGTCCACACTGGGGGACGCTACATATCGTAGGCAGAACTCGCATCTGACAAGAGATCGAATGTACGCGTGTGGCCATGTCGACTCCACCCATCAAGCAGTCACACATGCTGGCTTCATTTGCAGACTGACAGATACACATGCAATGCGTGTGTGAAATCGTGCACACACAAGCAGTATGCAGGAACGTTGACACACAGCTGCTACAGACACACATGCACCTTGCTCATGGATCCGTCCCCTCATTCATTCATTCATTGGATCGGTCTATCACAGCTCGTCGGGCACATCCGACAGCACGTCAAGGAAATCCTGACACAGATCAAGCATTCCGTACGCCACACAAACAGGTGTGTGTGTGTGTGTGTGTGTTTCTAGGCTGACCCACCTGCATGGTTTGTGTGATCTTCTGTTGGCTGGCGAGGAACACCTCCTTGTCGCCAGCTGTCGCAGGCTTGTCCATCGACTCTATCGCTGCACCACCACACAACCAGATACATCGGCGAACATCTCTGTCTCTCTGTGTATGTGTGTGTATCGTGATGCACTCGCGCACTTTTCTCGAAGTTCTTGATGAGCTGTTTGCTCTGCTTGTCCTTCTCGGGGTCCAGACCCTGGACACACACCGGACGCACGTGCAGGCAAGCAGGCGTGACCCATACCCCCGTCTGTGTCAGTGTGCCCCTGCTTGCCTTGGATATGAAGCGCATGTCGTCGCTCTCTTTGTACATGGCCCGCAGAAAATTCCTAAGGCACATACCAATCGTCAACTCACTCATCCCATGAATGAGTGCATGTGTGTTCACCCACCTGAGCCCCTTCCACTCGTCCGCTGTGATGTCGTCAGTCCTCGCACGCAGAGCAGAGCCCATCTCCTCCCACCTGATTTGATTGACCCACACGGAAGGACAAGAGTGGGTGTCAGCATACCATGGTACATACAGGCGTGTCTGTCTGCCTGCCTGCCTGCCTGCCTGTACCTACCTGAGTTTGGCTTTGATAAATCTGTCCCTTTGCAGTGCGCCAGCCGGAAGCGTGTCCCCGCTGTACACATCCGCATACGCACTCACAGGCTGCACCTATCCGTACCACACACCACACACAAAGCCAGACAAAAAGATGGCCAGTCATGTGTGCGATTGCGCGTGTAACTCGTGTGTGTGTGTTCTTACCTGCCGCAGAAATGCCGCAGTGATCCCGTCGACAGGTGCGTTGGTGGTGGGAAAAGAAAGAGGGATGGGGGCGACAAACAACAGGACCGGCAGAACAAGGGAAAACAGGGGGGAGAGCGACGGCCTCGCTCGGTGACTGCACAAAGACAGAGGGCGACAGCCAACACACAGAGAGAGGGCAGCTATCCATCCATCCCTTTATTCATTTATCTTACGAGCGATCTGGTGGCTCAGCACCGAGCACAGTCCTCACAGAGTGTCTTGTGTGAGTGCTTGGGAAGGGCAGGGAAGGAACGAACGCTGGTACTGCTGCTGATGAATGCCGCCTGCATCAGGGGAAAGGAAAGCAGGACAAGATTCGCATTCATGTGAGCTGCCTGCTGGCGGCTATGGGCAGCTACCTGAGCGTCGTTGGTGCTGCGCCTGTGCATTCTGCAAGGACCATTGCACCTGCATCCAAGCAGCGATAAGGGATACACACAAACAGACGTGATCTGGGCAGCTGAGCATAGATCTGCTCCTCCCTACCTCCCAGGGCAAACGTGGACAGCGATTTCACCATCCGAAAGCGCATCGTTCCTCCTCACACGATCGGCACGCTCTCTAAGCTCGCATTGACGAAACCGCTGCTCCGAAAGGCCAATAGGATGGAAGTGGACGAGCAGAGGGTGCCGGAGGATGAGCAGGACAAAGACTTCCCGCAGCTCCTGCCGCTCGTCACACCAGGTTACGATCTTCCTCTCTGTGTGTGTTGGATGAATAGATCTACGTTTGTGCATGTGTGTACCGTATGTGCAGGCGAGCGCATCGGCCACGTGAGTGCGTACAGGGCCGGTGCGGGTGTGTATGAGAGGCGGGGCCACCTGTACGCCAGCAAGGTCGGGGAGAAACTCATCGAACAAGACGACAGCAACCAGGTGCAGGCAGACAGACCCATCGATAGGCGCTTAAACCAGTCTCTCGTGTGATGCGTTTCTGTGTGTGGGGGATGGTTGGTGCATGCAGCTGCCTGTTGTGTCAGTGGAGACTGCAGGACTGTCGGGCAGCCCTTCGGTGCCATTCACTGGGGCGACGGTACTCGCACAGGTGAGCAAATACACCTGCACACACGACACACAAGGAGAGAGAGAGAGAGAGAGAGAGAGAGAGAGATGGGTGTCTGCGTTCTTTCTCGTGTGTGTGTGTGTGTGTGTGTGTGTGCCACTCTGTGTGTTTAGGTGACTCGGATATCCCCTCGTCGTGTGGACTGCATCATCCTGTCTGTGGAGGGCCGGCCCATCAGGGACACTTCCAACCCTTACAAAGGCATCATTAGGTCAGGCAGACAGACAGGCGGACAGGCAGGCAGGCAGGCAGGCAGACAATGAGGGTACTCGGCCTCACACGTGTGTGTGGATGTGCGTGTGTAGGTTGCAGGACGTCCGGCCATTCGAGATCGACCAGATTGATATGCTCGAGTGCTTCAGGCCCACAGACATCGTCAAAGCGAAAGTGGTACAAACACATTCACCCAGAAGACTTTCATGGCGTCCCCACGCACAGTACACCATTGCAGGTGTCATTGGGTGACAGCCGGTCCTTCCATCTGTCGACTGCCGAGCAGGACCTCGGTGTCGTCTTCGCGAAGAGCACATCAGGTGATGACTGAGCCCAACCATCAGGTCTGTGTGGGTATGTCCGTGTGTGTGTCTGTGTGGGTTGTAGGTCATCCACTGGTGGCTCTGAAATGGAATGAGATGGAGTGCTCAAAGACAAAAGAGAGGGAGCCACGGTCAGTCACTCAGTCAGCCAGAAAGACGCGTAGGTATGGATGTGTGTGTGTCTGTCCGTGTGTGCAGGAAAGTGGCCAAGCCATCCGACTGAGTGCGCCTTGCCGTGCAGTGTGTGTATAGACATCTCTGTGTGTGTGAGTGCATATGTACATTTGGTGAATGACTGCAAGGATGCATCAACAATACGTGTGAGTGGGCGAGATGCGCAATTGACGATTGACGGACGATTTGGATGGCCTTGTCGGACATTGAGCAGCTAATTATCACATCTTGGACAGACAGACAGGGGGATGGCACAGCTGTCCGTATGTCACGTATATGTACACCAAGAACGACCCTCAGACTCCTGATTGCTTGCTCTGTATCTCTCTCCACTGCTGTACACCGAACCAAACCACCCCCTGACCAGCCTCTAATGTAGGAGGTGTCAATCCTCAGCTTCCCTCAATACCCTCTTGCTGCGCACACACACACACACACACACACCAATGGGAGTCGATCACACACGTGCGGCTTGCGCTTCACTTACAGGAGGGAGGGTGTCCTGAAGAGTCTCCATCCCTTGGCTGTGGGCATGAGAGGGTAGACGTCCTCAAAGAAGTAGTACAAGTGGCCCACTATGATGCCCATCAGGTGGTCGTGCAGCTGCCAACCCAATGCAAGCGACATACCCAGCAAAACCCTACACACACGCAAGACACACATCAGTGCACACAGGAAGAACTCTCTCTCTCTCTCTCTCTGTGTGTGTGTGTGTGTGTGTGTGTGTGCGATGGATGGCTGACCATGAGACGTATGGCGCCCGTATGGTGAAGAGCAGGAAGTGCATGCGCGTGTTGGGGTTGCGCCGGCCCCATATGTACGTCATCACGTCAATCATCGACGACGCGAAGAAATACGTCGACCCAAAGAAATACGAAATCCCCTGCAGGCCACACACCATCCACACACACACACGCATCCTCACTCACACACACTGCCTCTGTGTGTGTGTATGGCTGCATGGCTGCTGGACCAGGAGGAGGCTGCCAGTGACGATGAGCATCCAGAGGAAGTCGGCCGATTTGCTGCGGAATGCGACGTCCTCGAGGTTGCTGCAGTAGAAGACCAGCACGTATTGGTTCCAGAAGAAGTGGAGACCGAAGTTGCCGAAGAACAGAAAACACGTCACCAGCCGCCACACCTAAACCACACACACACAACCACGCACACGACAGCCATATTCCGCTCACAGACAGGATCTCTATCTCTCTTCCACTCACTTGTCCTTCTTTGATGAGGTTCCAGTTGAGATAGAGGCTGTACGGCGAGAGGATGTCCAGGCTGCAGAGCAGCATCAGCCCCGTCGAGAGTATCACATAGCTCTTCGTCACTGGAGGCAGCGACCCGAGCAGCTCGTCCAACTGAACCATTTCTTCTGTTCCTTGCAGCAACAAGAGGGTCACCGTGGCGTTCCAGACAGGCTACAGGGGTGTCGAGCACGGTCATCCACTCACTCACCTTCGGGTTCGGGAGTTAGAGCGTATGGCGAGGTTCGGAGAAACAACGACTGAAAGTAGGCCATCCTCGTAGATATGAAGAAAGAGTACGTGACCAAGACACTCGACAGCCACAAGTGGGACGACTACGTCCCCAAAGACGGAGATATCGTCGTGGCCACCTACTACAAGGTGAGTGCACGGGGGCAAACAAGCCAACACGGCACACACGCATTATGGACCACACAGCACAGACGCACGCTAACAGACAAGGCCAGGAAAAGAGCAGAGATGTGAGAGAAGACCGGAAGGTTCTGACTCACACACACACGAACACACTCCTTCTCTGTATTGTGTTGTGTGTGGCCAGTGCGGCTCCACGTGGATGCAGCAGATCGTCTACTCGCTGCTCTACCATGGCGAGCCGCCCACAGACCGGCCCGTGACAGAAATGGCTCCGCAGCCGGAGATGAAGCTCCTCCCATTCTCCTGGGACACACTGCCAGACATCAATGGGCGTCGAATGGTCAAGACCGGCCTCCCTGCTGACGTGGTGCCCTTCTACTCCAACGTCAAGTACATCTACGTGGGGCGAGATGGCCGGGACGCCTTCATGTCACTGGACAAGTAAGTGAGCACGGCAACAGCAGGGAGGCAACACGCATTCATTGGTTGTGTGTGTCCGTCGTCTGTGCAGCCATTGGTCGAGCCGCAACGAGAAGTACTACAAAAGCCCGCATGCGCTGCCCCGCTACACCGACCCGCCTGTGAGCGGCGACACTGGCCGGTTCTTCGATGAGTGGATCAGCAAGGGCAACCCCTGTCTGCCCTGGTTGGTGGTTTCACGGCACGTCACACGACGTAGATCGTGTTGCATGTTTCTCTGGGTGTGTGTGGCTGGTGCAGGGAGACGGACGGCTGGCCATTCTGGTCGCTGTTCAGGAGCATCGAGAGCTGGTGGCACATGCGGGACAAGCGCAACGTTCTGATGGTGCACTTCAAGGTGAGCGTCTTGTGAATGGATGGAAAGGCATGCATCTCTTTCTCCCACTCTGTGTGTGTGGTGGGTGGGCAGAACCTCAAGCAAGATTTGGAGGGTCAGATGAAGCGCATAGCGTCTTTCCTGGAGATCGACATCGACGAGACGGCACTCAAGCAGGCGGCTGACAAGTGCACGTTCGCACACATGAAGGTACCCACTTCCACACACACCTATCACGCACACGTCACATACACACACACGAGCAGAATGATATATATATATTTACGTGTGTGGGTGGGTATGTCTCTGTGTGTGTGTGTGCAGGAGAACGCCTTGTCCGTGTTGGGTGAGCAGTTCAGCCAGTCCTGGGGCGAGGGCGGCCAGGCGGGCGCTCAGGTGAGTCAGTCAGTCAGTCAAGCCAGCCCTAATGAACACACGAAAGACACACACCCCATGTCATGTGCAGACCTTCATCTTCAAGGGCACCGACGGCCGCTGGAAGAACGTCCTGACCGACCAGCAGATGGCCAAGTATGCTGCCAAAGTGGCTGCGCTGCCGGCGTCCTGCGCCCACTGGCTGCAGACGGGCGAGATGGTGCCGATGGATGACACCCACGGGGCCTTCATCCACTAGCCAAAGGGGGGAGGTGGGGGCAGGGGGCACTGCTTTCATTGCACATCTATGGTGTATCGTGTTTCTGAGATGATGTGTGTATTTTTGCATCGCATTCGCCGCTTGCTGATCTGATCCGAACACACGTGGGTATTTGTCAGTCAACGATTGTTTGTGTCACCCTTTACAGTGTGTGTGAGTGTGTGTGTGTGTGTGCGAATCCCGCCGCCGTGTTTTCATATTGATCGCATTATTGTCAATGAGTCTTTTTCACCCTTTACGCAGCTGCAGGGTCAAGGGTGCATGGCCGTCCCGTGGTAGAGGGGCTTGGCTGGCTGGGTTAGGCTGACTGATTCAAGGCACCAAGTCCGAGTGCGTCGGCTGGGCGGAAAGGCTGCGTGTGGGGGGCTGGTCTGTGTGCGTGTTCGCCGTGGTAGTCTCTCGCTGAACGGTTGCAGCATTCTTTTTCTCAGTTGTGTCGGTGTCACATCGCCGTAAGTGTTCCCTCCCTTCCACATGTAAGTGCTGTCTCGTGCGTAATGCGTCCATTTCATCACTATATATATGGCGCCCCCGAGTATGCTTGTGTGTTCTATCGTGTCTGTCTCCGATTGGCTCTGCTGACGTGTTGTCCGCGTGCGGCCGTTCACAGGCGGAGAAGCCGTCAGCCGAGTCGGTCCGAGGGCCACGAGAGAACAAGCCTAGTGGAAATGCGGATGGGTCAGCATGGGTCGTGTGTGTGTGTGTGTGTGATGTGTGTCTTGCGGACAGTCAGCCAATACCGTGATGTGGTGTGCTTGATGCGCGGGACACTGGTCACAATGAGTCCACACACGAGTTCACATCATTGGAGACGTCCCTTTGATGCACACCTACGTAGCTGTCCATGGACAGTCCACTCGTCGAGGCACTCACATTCGTCACACACATGGACGCCTCCCACCGGGAGACAGACACCAACAAGAAAAACAGTGAAGACAAGAATCATGCACTCTCCTGATGATCAAGAGAGGCCGCTGATCGCATAACGCACAGCGGCAAGCGGCAAGCGGCAACACACACTAATGACGCACCCATGCATTCCACGGACACCTCTTCTCGTGACTTGAGCAAAACGCGAGAAGAGCAGTCCCATAGAGAGATCAATCCATGTACACTTCCACCCAACTCACATCCACCTATTCACTCGACCGGCGCGCCCCTGGCGGCCTCGGCCGTCTTGACCCGGGGTGCAGCCAGGGAGAAACAGTCGGTCGTAGACGGCCCCACCCCCCCGAAGCACCACGCCGCTGCGCTTGGCCTCCTTGACCCGATTGAGTTTCCGTCGTCAAGGGGTCGTGGCCGTCGAAGCAGCCGGTGGTCCACTGCTTGACGAGCGTGTGGCTGTCGGCCCTCTCGAGCAGCAGTGGTATGTTCGATGAGGGCGAACGAGAGAGGGGTCGGTGAGTGAGTGAGTGGCCGGTGAGGGAGGCTCGATGCACAGCTATGAGTGGCCAGCAAAGCACCGGTCACCAAATTCGCCTTCGCCCGGCAAGTGAATGCGCTTCCGCCATAGCTCATCGGGCACCAAATCAGATCATGAACACGGCCACTCCCTGCCAGACAGCACAAGGACACATACGCGAGAAATGAGCACATGCATCCATGCGCGCCAGATCCAATCCGGTTCTGCACCTGAATGAAGGGATGGCACCTGTCTGTTACGTCGCCGACGTCGGCTCTTGTGCTGTACTGAGGTGACAGATCTGCAAGCACAGCGATGTTCCAGGCAAATCCATGCTTGCTTTCCCTGCCTCTTTCACTGTCATGCCACCCTCCACCAACCCGCCTGTCTCATCGGGGTTGAGCGCACCATCTTGCTGTGTTCTGCAGCACCACTGCACACGATAGCTCGTCCGAATCCCTTAAAGTGGTCCACTGAGATGTTGAGCGGCAAACTCCAAACCGACAGGGCACTCAGAGGACGACCCATCCCCGGTGCTTGAATCTTCTTCTGACCGACGGACTGGGGCTGGGATCCTGGTCGACGGCAGCAACACACACTCGACAGGACGGCAGATGCTGGGAAGGACACACGCACCCGTCGAAGGCAGAGCCGTCGACGGCGCTGCCTTGCTGCTGCAGGCCAAGTCGAGCACATGAATAATGACAGATCTCGGTGCCATAGCTGCTGTTGACGGTATCGGGCGAATGGCATCGATATCGTCGAGGGCCGGGGAGGCTGACCGGGGCGAGAGGGGCGAGAGGAGGACATGCTGAGATCTCATCAGAAGATGAACGATAACATCTCAGCCGATAATGGCGCTTCTCACAGGCACCCTTCCATGCGGTCCCATCCGCCAAAGAGCGCCCTGTTCCCCCTCCATGGTCTTCTTTGAGCTCGCAGATCGAAGAGAGAAGGGAAAGGAGGGAGGGGAAGAAGGAGGGGCAGCCTTGTGCAGCATCGAGGGGCGGCTGAGGTTCTTTCTCTGCCTTCTACGCCTCAAGTCGATGAGTTGACTGAGCGGCATCGTCGCGTCTGTCCTTCCTGAGGTACGCCAGAAGGGACAGAAAGAAGGCCAATTCGCCATCGGTGCCGCCCTCATGTGCTCTGTGTGTTTGTGCGTCAGGGGGGGACCGTGAGCATCGCTTATCAGCTGCTGCCCCAGAGAAGGCCTTGGAGTTCTCATCGCAGCGGACGGCAGAGAGAGCAGCCGCTGAGTCAGATCTACAGCTAGCCATGGAGGACTGTAGACAGGTGAGGCGACCACAGCACCGCCTGCAATCGATGGCGCATTTCAACCGACCATTGTCGATTGTGTGTTTGGTGTATGGGTGCAGGTTAAAAGGTCTCGCCCTGGGAGCGACGCACCGGCTGCTTCTTCATCGGCTGCAGCTGCAGCGGATGGTGGTTCTGCGAGTGCGAGTGATGAGGCGCGGCAGCGGCGGGAGGAGAGGGAACGGCGCATCTTCTGGGGGAATGCGCCTGTGAGCCAACCGCACGTACAAGGACATACACACTCTGATAGGTATTCACATCTCTTGCCTTTCCGTGTGCTGTGTGCAGCCCGAAATTCGGAGCTTCATCATGGCCTTCCCCTCCCCATCCATCTGCTGATCCTGCTGCCGCCTCTGACGTGGCAGCACGCCGCCCGCAAGCAGCACCACCTCACCATCAGCGCAGCAGACGAACACGAGCGGTCGTTTTGGCAGAGAGCCGCCATCGACCCAGCTACATGATGGTCTTCCTGCCCATCCACCTGATGGTGCAGCTGGCCAAGTCCATCTGGCAGCACGCCGCACCCGAGCTCTCGGACGTCACCATCAGCTCGGCAACCAAGGAGGAGCGGCCCTTTTGGCAGCACGTCCGTCTCGCCTTCGTCGCCCAGCTGGCGGCCCGACTCACCCACCTCACAGCCATCACCCTCCGCTACCCCACCGGCTTTACCGGTGTCTTCTGCTGGTGTTTCGACGTGTTTGTGGCCATCATCGAGGGCCACATTGCCGGCCGACGGGCAGCCAACATGCAAGGAGGGACCCTGCAGACCATCACCTTCAAAGAGGGGGTTCGGCTGACCGGTACGGCGAGCCAGAGCGTCTCGAGGACTCGTCCGCCCCTCCCCGCTCTGATCGACCCGCCCCCGACTCTCCACGCACTCACGACTATTGGCGGCCTGACCTACCACCATGACGCGTTGGCCTACCGACGCTGGCTGGTGCCCTCACTCGCCACTGTGCGGCAGGAGGGTTGGCACGCCGGCAGATTGGGCCAGCTCATCAGCTCGTCCCGCTCCCTGCGGCGTGTGGACGGCAGCTCTGGGGGTGAGGAGTGGGCGGGGGTGTTTGAGGGGATCCTTGCGGCACCTGCTGGGCAGCAGGGGGGGCCACTTAGCAACTTGGGGAGCATCGGCACCATCGAGATCGACTGGACGACCATCGGGCGGCGCGGGAGGGCATAGATCGGCTTCAGGTGAACGCAAAAGACGCACGTGTGCAGCAGGGCGTGGGGGTTGGCTCATGATGTCCTTCCTGTGTGTGTATTCTTGCCTTCAGGAAGTGCTCGTTGCGCGTGGCTGCCGACAGTCACTCAAGCAGCTGCACGTGCGCTTTGGTTCCTTCTACCGCATCGACCGCCACACCTTTCCCGTCTTGCTGGCCCTGGACCGGCTGGTCGGCGCGTGCTGCCGACAGGACGCCCCACTCACCTTTGAGTCCCCAGACGCCATATTTGACCTCGCCATCTTCTACCACACCGAATTCCCCACCGACCCGTCACCCTCATTTAAGACCATGATCCAACAGCTGGCCCAGCAGGCCACATCGGTGGAGTACCTCTTCACTCAGGACGGCCTCGCCGACCCGCACACCGACCCGAGCCAACCGGCCATCGACATTGCGTCCAGCCTCTCATTCGACGAGGCCGTGTGGGTTGAGGTCAGGGATGCCCTCGGCTTCCATCCCCCGGCCAACACCCCATCGCCCCGTCCCACCATCATCACCCACCTCAAGCCATTCCCGAAAGCCTCACAGCTGGTCGTCGCGAGCGGATTGGGTGGTGCTGTTGGCGAGCTGCTGGCCGCCAAGATGCCCAAGGAGGTGCGGGGGGTGGACGTCGAAAGGGGGTTGGGTGGTGAGGAGAAGGTGGGTGTGTTGACGGCGCTGGGGAGGGAGAGGGAGGTGGATACGGTGGTGATGGGGGAGGTCGGGGTCGACCAGCTGGTGGGGGCGGCCGACAGCTTGCCGACTATCAAACGACTACAATTCAACATCACACGTACGCCGGGAGAGGATGGCAGTGTGTCCTTCCGTTCTCATCTCTCCCGTGTGTGTGTTCCCCTTCAGTGCCCGATGATGTGGAGGACACGGGCAGCTTCGTCCGCACCCGCCTCTCGTCGGTCATCCCGCACATCAGGGGCCTCCAGGGCGTCACGCTGCGGGTCCAAAAGACGACAGCTGAGCAGCATGATTCCATCACCGCGTCCCTCCCTGTGGGCGTCAACATCGGTGCCTTCTGCGTCTCAATCAGAAACGTGCACCGCGGGAGGGACTTCACGAGCATTCATCTAGTCCTCAATGCCTAAAGGTGAGTGAACGGCGTTCATTCAAACGAAGGTCGGTCTGATTGTGTGACCATCTTCACGTCTGTCTGTGTGTGCAGGGTGGTGGTGGTCGTGTCTGTCAGGCCGACCATTGTGTGTGGTGGATCATTCGCAGCGGAGGGGCAGTGGGACCCTTCTTAGCTGACGACATTCACTGGCTGCATAGCATAGCTGCGATGTGTGTGTGTGTGTGTGTGTATGTGTGGGTGCATGGCTGTACAGATTGCCGGACGGGAACCGCCTGATGCGGGCGTGGGAGTGAGCACATCACACACAGACTCCTGCTGTGTGTGGTGGTGCTGCATGATGGATGCGTCGATGGTATATCTCGCTCGTCTGTCTGTCTGTTTGTCTCTTGGCATTTGCTCGTATCAGTGTGCCTGCTTGCCTGCCTGCCTGTCTGCCTCGCTCGATCCTTTGTGCCGTCTGGCCCCTTCCTCTCCTCAGTCCCCCTTAGTGGCAGACAGCAGCGGCAGAGGGGAGATGGACGAGCACAGGAAGGCAAGGCACACACACGGTGGGCAGATTCAAGTGTGAGGGCGGTAGCCGCCGATTGGGGACCCGCGCACACACAAACAGACAGACAGACAGCCACACAAACAGACAGACAGCCACACAAACAGACAGACAGAGAGACAATCAGACAGACGGAGAGACAAATGGATGTCTTTGCTCGCCATGAATGAGAGAGACGGTGCGCCTGTCCGTTGGTTGGGCGTGTTGCACTTTTGTGTTTGCGATGGACGGAATGCCCGGCTGTTGTCAGAAGTGAAGAGCCTTCGCTGATCGCATCCGCCCAGAACGAACACGCCGACATCACACGGCGTCTTCCTGTCTATCTCTTCTGACGCGCTCGCTAGATGAGAGACATCAGAGCTTTGCAATGGTTTGCAATGAACCGTTGCTTCAACAGGCGAATGGTCTCGTTTGTCTGTCATCGATATGCAAAGGCATCATCATGCAACGCACCCCAACCAACCTGCGGGCCGTGTGAATGTGTGTGCGTGTATGTGGATGACTTTGAGGGGGGCTGACATGTCACACACACACATCGTGCGCCGCATGGCCGGTGACCCACTCGCCCACGATCCTGCAGGTACAGAGAGAGAGATCAGAAACACCAGGAGAAGCGCAATCATTATGCCGAGGGCGCGGTGTGTTTTGCTGTGGACCTGCATGTCGAAGATGCATGTGCCGCCTCTCTCAGGGCCGGTCCAGCCGGTGCAGGTCATTGGCAGGGAGAAAACTCCGAAGCGCATGAATGCTCATCGTTTGACGGCCAGTTTCCGAAAGAAGTTCGGCGCGGCAGCCTTTGCATCAAGAAATGAAGGTCACACAACGACACGCATCCATGTCTCTACCTATCCCTCCCCCCATCTCCCCTTCCTCTGGACAGCTCCCAGATCGTTTGCTGCCGGACACACGCCACATAGCAATCATTGCCACCGCACAAAAACCCAACCAATACGAGTCAGTCATGGCACTGGGCCGAGCGTCGCATCTTCGAGCCCGAATCGCCTCAGCAGCTGCCGCACACGAGCCATGGTGACAGGGAACCGCTCCCCATTAGTCACCCCACCGGCCACCTCTACCTCGCTCGTCCTGACCACAATTTGCAAGTCGATAAGACCTCCCAGGTGTACGGAGGCCACCAAACCACCAGCCAGTAGTAGCACCACAACACGTCTGGGCTCGTACGAAACTGGCTGCCTTGGCGGCTTCTCCTCTGACTCTCGCATGTCGATGACGACAATGTCAGGCTCGCAGGTGAAGGAATCGCTCAGGACTAGCGCTGCGTAGTGTCGGAAAGCACGACAGCTCGTCCTGACTTTGAGGGTGATCTTCCTGGCGCGATTGACATGGTTGAGTCCCAGCAGCTTGTCAAGGGCAAAGGCGCTGAATGAACGGTAGACGCGATCGGTCCATTTGGATGAGAGTGGGAAGCGGCCCCCGCTGTTGACTGGCGGGTCACTGGGGCAATAGATAAGCCGGCCGAGAATAAGCCGCCACAGCTCGTTCCTCTCGACGATGCGGAACTGCCTCTCGCCGATGGCATACCACTGCACTAGCCTGCTCCTTGCGTGCAGCAAGAAGACCATGAGCGACACATAGAGGAGGCAGGCCGTAAGGATCACGCCCGCGTCCGCGTAGATGCAGGTAAGGCCGGCACCAATCCACCGCAAGGCAAGCAAGTTGTCATGCGGAGCCTTGAGGATGTCATCAAGATAGAAAGACAGCGTAAGGCGCACGAGTAACCAGACCCACAGCAGCACATAGATCACGTAGACGGCTGCCGTCAGGAGTCGCTGCAGCAGGCTGGTGGGGATAACAAAGACATCGGTCTTCCGTCTGCAGCCCTCGGTCAGCTGCAGTTGCAGCTGTTGACTGCTAGCCCCACTGCAGAGCAGACCGCCAAATGTCGTGTAGACGGCCATGGCAGCGGGCAGCCGATGGAAAGTCGCCTTGTCGGGCACATGAGCCGCCACACTCTCAGCCGACAGCACCATAGGCAGCTGGCCAGCCGCACCCCAGGCACTCGCCACCCTGATAAATGTGGCCATCATGCGCCACTCAGCCGCCCGCTCGATGACATAGGCACAGCGAGCGAGATATCCAAATCGCGAGAGGGATGGTGGCAGGACAGGAGCCGACGGGTCGACGCCGCGGTCCCTCTCCACATCGATAAGGCCGGTGAGCTGCTGCTGGGCCAGGCAGCTGTTGATGCGACCGAGAAGGAACGCTTCATCGATCAGCCGAGCGCCGTAAGCCTTGCCGACCGCCCGGAGCCTCACGGCATCGTCGACAGGCAGTAGAGGGATGACCACACGGGCGAAGACGTCAGCAGGAAGCCCTTGGTCAGCTCCAGCACTACCGATGGCGACCGATAGCTCAGTGGTGGAATCATCCTCCTCAGTGGATGTCGACAGCAACTGACGATGGTCGGCCACTCGCCGATAAGAGAAACGAGACGTCCACCACCGCAGCAGCCAAATCATTATTTGTCAGCTGTCGGTGAGGGAGGGACACAGAGACCTCAGCAAGCAGCAGAAGCTGAGAAGCTTCCATGCTGTGTACCTGTTCGGCTCTCTCGATGATAGGGCTCGTGTGCGTGTGATGCTCTCTATGCTCTGTTGACCTTCTTCGCTCAGCTGGGGCTCACACAGACTTCCCTCATCGCAGCTGCGCCTGACAGGACATGAACAGACATCGCATGTTTTGGAAGATCCCACACACGTGTGCATTCATGGTTCCTTTGCTCCCATTTCCGACCCCTCCTCACCTCCAGAAACGCCATTCGGCTCCATCTCTGGCGATCGCAAAGCTCGCAGCAGCGGGCATAACGCGGCTCTGCTGGGCTTTTCCTCTTCCCATTCATCGCAATGGACAGCCTCACAGAGCGAACGGGAAAAAAGCTTCGTGGTCCGTCGAGAATCAGAGACGGGGAATGATGATAAGTTTTAACGCCAAGCCATGATAAGCTTTTTTCCGACGGATCCGATTCTTGCGCTTACCACCCTTCTCCCCGCGCTTTCCGTTCCCCGCTCACTCCTGTTCTTCTCGCCTCTCTACCGGCCGCAACGTCGCCGACAGCCCGCTATGATTAATCAATGGAGCAGACCACCCTTGCCGAGCAGTCACAGCAGCCAGAAGAGCCCACCACCGAGGAGCAGTCACAGCAAGAGCAGCAACAGGCGGGGCGGCGGGGCGGCGGGGAGGCGTCGAGTGCGGACCGACCTGACATGACGAATGGCTCGCACAGCCAGTCGCTCCCTGCCGGCCGGCCGTACCGGCCGATGCCCCATGACCGGACGTTCGGGGATTTCATGAAGGCGGCGAGGCGAGGCGGTACATGCAATCAGCAGAGAAAGGAAATGAGGCTGAAGCGCCGGGAGGAGGAGCAGGAGAGGAGGGCGGCGGCAGCAGCTGCTGCAAGTGCGGAGGACGCCGCCGAGGTGAGAGGAGTCACCGCTTCACTATCGATTACCTTCCTGCCCATCCACTCCCGTACATGCCTCGTGTCTTGGTTGTCTGTATCTGTCTGTCTGTCTGTCTGTCTGTCTGTGTCTCATATGTATCTCAGGAGCCCCCCGCTCGTGGCGAGGAGGGTGAAGTTGAAGATGCGCAGTCGCAGAACGGCGTCACCGAGGAGGCAGCAGCACGGGCCGACGAGCAGGCAGGAGAGGGAGAGGGAGAGGAAGATGGAGAGAGGACGGCCGAGTCGCGAGGAGAGGCTGAGGGCGAGGGCGAGGGTGAGGCTGCCGAGGACATCACCTCCCCGCTCGACGACAGCACCGGCATCTCCGCACCGGCGGCTGCTGGCGACATCTCCCACTTCCCTGCGCCCACCGTCCAGCCCTCCAAGTCGTCCACGGTGCCCCCGCCCGCCCCTGCTGCTCCCACCCCTCCGGCCGCTCCCCTCTCGCCACCCCCAGTGCGCGCCAAGGAGGATGAGACGGGCGGTCCACCCCTACCAGCATCTTCTGCCTCTCAGCCTGACGACACTCGACAGCCTGACGGGCCCGTGACCCCCAACACCGACAGAGATGCAGCCCACCAGCCCCCTCACCACCACCAGCACCACCACCGAGGTTCGCCACCCCCACGACGAGGCCGAGGGGGCCGCCCACCGCCCGGCTCTCACTGGCGGCCTGTGCGCGAGGGAGGAGACGACAGCCCCCGACAAGCCGACCGGGAGGAGCCCAGCAGCGGCGGCTACGGGCATGTCAAGCGAGGGACGGGGCGGGGCGGCGGGGAGGCGTCGAGTGCGGACCGACCTGACATGACGAATGGCTCGCACAGCCAGTCGCTCCCTGCCGGCCGGCCGTACCGGCCGATGCCCCATGACCGGACGTTCGGGGATTTCATGAAGGCGGCGAGGCGAGGCGGTACATGCAATCAGCAGAGAAAGGAAATGAGGCTGAAGCGCCGGGAGGAGGAGCAGGAGAGGAGGGCGGCGGCAGCAGCTGCTGCAAGTGCGGAGGACGCCGCCGAGGTGAGAGGAGTCACCGCTTCACTATCGATTACCTTCCTGCCCATCCACTCCCGTACATGCCTCGTGTCTTGGTTGTCTGTATCTGCTCTGCGTCTCATATCTCAGGAGCCCCAGGGCAGCACCGCCCAGTCGCAGCACGGCGTCACCGCACCAACCATGACGCAGATGCCCACCGAGAAGGCCGCTCCCCTCTCGCCACCGGCAGTGCAGGCCAAGGACACCAACACCACGCAGGAGGGGGCAGTGGTGGTGGACGGCAAGGGTGGGGCTGCCGCACCGGCGGCTGCTGGTGCACTGGCTGGGCCGTGGTGGGGTGCGTTGGGGAGGGTGGTGGAGTGGTTCTTCCCTGCACCGGTGCCCTCCCCATCCAATGATATGTTGACATATGAATGGATGGGTGCACGTGTGCGTGGCCGTAAATGAGTAAGTGGTGTGCCCGGTGCCACTGTGCCGTTCATGGAAAGGGATTCATGTATGTGATTTGTGATGTAATGTGATGTGATGTGATGTGTGTGCGGTGTCGTGTGCTTTGTGCTTTGTGCGACTGCCTGCCTGACTGCTCGCCTGCCTGCCTGTCTGTCCTTACTGTCTGGCTGTTTCAATGTTGAATGGATGGATGGACAGGGAGAGGGAGGGAGGGAGGGAGGGAGAGAGTCATCTCTGCCTACATTTTATATCTGACGGCAGTTCAATGACTGGTTGGAGACATACATGCAGAGACCTTCCCGATGAGGGGCAAGCATTCACACCGATAACCATGGATGCGATGTCCATATACAGTCGCCATGTGCAAAAGGGCCCACACACATCCATCCATCCACCCGTCCGTCAGCAAACACGTCACTGCAGACCCTCTGTACATGAATTTGTCGCACTCCCACTGTTGCCCTCCAACAACAGCACTATTGCCCGCCGGAGAAAGGGGGTGCACGTGGTGGGGAGGGGGCGATCGTCATAGAAAGAGGTTATGGTGGGTTTGTGAGTGTCAGTGGTCAGTTTGCGGTTGTGTGTGTAGTGTGTGCCTTTTCAATCTGCCTTCCTGCCTGCCTGCCTGCCTGGGTGTCGGCCTGGATGGCAGACACACACACACACACACAGCTAGGGAGCCGCTGCAGCGCGTGTGTCATCTCTATTCTACTTTGCTGCCTACGTGCAGGATGGATTGCCTGGCCGAGGCGTATGGATGGACGGTGGCCGAGTGTGGCAGAATGAGAGCTAGATGAGAGACATCAGGGCTTTGCAATGGTTTGCAACGAACCTTTGCTTCAACAGGCGAATGGCCTCGTTTGTCTGTCATCGATGGGCAAAGGCATCATCATGCAACGCACCCCAATCAACCGATCAAGCCACTAATGCCACACGCCAGACGCACACTGGATGGATGGACAGACTGCATGCTAAAAAGTTATGTTCCTTCTGTCTCTCCCCCTCCCTCTCCCATGTGCAACGACGCAGCAGACGTACGAGCGGACGGATGGAGGGTGGGTGGGTGTGATGTGTGATGTGGCACGTGTGCGGCTGACTGACTAAAGGAAGAGTCAGAGGGAAGGCAGACAGACTGCAGAGTGGAGTGAATGGGAAAAAGGGTGGGTGCGTGGGTGGGTGGATGGATGGACTTCCGCATCGCCACACCACACCACACCACACCAAACGCCCTCACAACACGTGTTGGTAATCTCGCCCCCACACACATGTATGTCGAAAGCCTTCCTCCCCAAAGCACCCATCCTTCCCTTGTGTGTGTGTGTCGGTGGTTGTGAGGCGCATCACAACACGACAAACCAGATGAGCCCCTTCTCAGCACCTTGGATGTGCAGTTAAGTGCGTCATCCGGGCGGCCATGGTATGATGCGCCTCAGCAACATACGACGGCAACAGAGAGGATCAACCAACCAGACAAACCGAAAAGCGGCATCATTGTACAACACCAGCCTTGTCTTTGTCCTTCGCATGTGCTGTCTTGATTCCGTTCGTTCTGCCTTCCTGTCTCTGCTGCCCGTTGCATTGCATTCCGTAGCACAATGGTGGCCATCAGCAGACTCGATGTGCGAGGCTGCCTGTGGCTCAGCATTGAGCCACACAATGAAGAACGCACAGCAGTGTGGGAAAGGCAAGGCAACACAGCAGACCATCTCACCCCCCCTCCACGTGTGAGTGAGTGTGTCCGTATCCTTGCTATCAACATCCACACATGCGACGAAGGAACGGCGGTCTGCGGCCTCTCGTCAAGAGACCCGACAGCCCGGCAACGGTCCGGCGACCAAGTGGCCGACCGCGCCCACCATAACACACGCTCACTCCCAATGCCCACTGTGAGAATCAAAAGCGAGGCGGGTGTTTTTGGGTCAGTAAGGGTGAGTAGTCAGGCGGCCTCTCTCTGTTTTGTGCTGTGTGTTGTGCGTTGGCTCCTTCCTTGCTGATGTCTCATGTGGTCTTCCGTCCATCAATCAGCTGTGTTTGGGTGTCAGGCAGGCAAGTAGTAGTAGAGAGGAATAGAATGGAAGAGTAGAGTAGAGAGTGGGCTCCAGAACTGCTGTAGTTCTGGAGTAGTAGTAGGAGGGAGGTCAGAACTGCTGTTAGTTAAAAGAGGTCTTTTTTCATGGTCATAGCGTCCATCCATCCATCCATCCATCTGTCGGTCCGTCACGCACTGATGTGCGACGGACGCTCACCCACACATAGATAGACACACAGGTAGCTACGGCGTGAAAAACAGACCAGCAAGAGAACCCTACACACAGACACGGACACACGCCAATCAACCAACCATGCCAGACAGACAAAAGGTGAGTGCGTCCAAATATGGATCGAATCGACAGTGGTGGCTTGGCTTGCCCTGCCCTGCCCCCTCTCTCCTCTCCAGTGGTGGTAGCCCACGGGTTAACCGACACTCTCGATGCAGTCATGCAGCATAACACATGAACCAGCAAGTGCCGCCCGGGCAAGCACTGTGCGACCGCCTCACCACCACCACCACCCAAGCACCCACAGCACCCTCAACACCCTCAAGACACACACACACACACACGCACGCACACGCGCACGACATCCACCCACACGCACACGAAGACATCACAGAGTTAACTCCCTCGCCATTTCCCTGCCGCCCTTTCCTACACCACACGAGCGGCGCTTAGCAGATTAGTCTACACGCGCACGCCCGTCACGCACACACGCACATCGGGGCATTCACGCAGCAAAAGGGCAAAGAGCGGGATATAGCCAGGAACAACGCGAGAGAGCGGTTCAAACGAAAAATACGTCGCGCAAGCGCAACGTATCGACAACAGGGGCAGTGGGCTAGGCAGGCAGCGACCAGCCGATTGGCTGTCGGCTGCTCGCATCGCTGGGCTGGCCTGGCCTGCCCTAGACGACCCCTCCCCTCTCTCTCCCTCTCCTCTGCGTGCTGTGCTCACAGCATATGGGCAAACGCACACAGTGTGCCCCTGTCGCTGCTCTGCAACGTACTAGCAGGCGACAGGACATTTGGACCCACAGGACCCTCAGACAGAACAAACGCACGAACGAATGAACGATAGATGGATGGATGAATCGCCCCAATCCATCCATCCGTCCATCCCCCCTTGCATGCAAGTCATGGGCGCCCCCCTCCCCACACACAGACAGACAGACAGACAGACACTTAGGTAGTTGAAAGCATTCTTCGGCAGCCAGACAGCCAGCCAGCCAGAGAGAGAGAGAGAGGGACGGACGGACAGACGGACACACCGGCAGGGTTTGCAGGGAGTGGGGCGCGCACACGACAGCAACCAAGCACGCAAGGGGCAGGTAGCCGTATGAACGAATGAACGAATCAGGTCAATCAGTGAATTCTCATCTGATCTGTACACACCAAACACACGGGGAGTAAAAAAGCTCTTTCTGCCCCTCTCCCTCCTCCTCTATCCCTATGTTTCCTTTCTAGGAGAAAACAGGGCAGGGCGGGGCGGCGCTAAAATTCGCACCAGTAAGTGTCGTGCTGGTGCAACCTGGCAGCAGCGCCGCCCGACGCCATCTGCATCATCCCTCCCCGCCCCTCCCCAAACGCAAAATCACACAGACTATTGACACAGAAAACGTCGCCCTCTCCCCCACTACCACCATCACCCACTCCCCCACCCGCCGCCGCATCGACGTCCATCTTGGAGGCCTTGGTCGTGACGAAAAAGTTGTCGACCTCCCTCTCCAGCTCCATCTGCTGCGCCAGCTGCCGCGAAACCGCCATCTTCTTCAGAGGCCGCCGGTCGTCGCACACTGAGAGCTGCAGAGGGTGCTTGGTGCCCCTCGTGTGGCGGCAGTCGCGCATGCTCTCGTCGTCGGTGCTGATGGCTTCGTCCTCTTCCATGATGGGCGTGAGGGACGGCAGGGACGACGCGAAGAGGCTGGAGGGGGAGGGGGAGGGCGGAGAGGGGGTGAGCGGGGAGATGGAGGGTTTGGGGAGGGACAGGGGCGCCCATGTGTCGAGGGGGGTGGGAGGAGGGGCCTGGGTGGTGCCAGTGACCGCAGAGAGGCTGGTCAGGCACTCGAGAATCGACGGGTGGAGAGAAGCAGGATCTGCATACCCACACACACGCACAAGCAACGAAGCTCACGCAAGCCCATGTATGAGATCTGAGCTGTCCACTGGCCTCTCTGCCCGTGAGACACAGCATGTAGAGCCTCTCCAGTCACCCTCGCTCACCTATCTGTCCCTGAACGCAGTGAATCGAACCATCAGGGGCTCGCACTATCCCAGCCTACAAAAAGGAAGCAACCAAGCACACACACGTCACCATAGCTGTCTCCCCGACGCCTTCATGTGCCTCCGTCCCTTCGGTGTGCGGGCGTACCTGCTGCGCAAGCTCGGCGGGCGTCGGGGTGCGAAGGAAACACATTGGCTAGCCAAATGTCGGGCGAATGGTCAACTAACGGTGGATGAAGTATGCGGGAGGCCGTCCTTTCGATTCTTTCTCTCCTCCTTCCTCTGCGAGCTTGGAATTTTCAAGCTTGCGTTTGTGAAGGGGAGGAGAGGCGAAGACGTGTGTTTGTTGGTGTGCAAACGTGCGTGAGATCCAGTTGGTGCCGTGTGTTGCTCCTCGCACTTTTGAAGACAGTGTTGAGGGGTAGACAGCCATCTACCCGGAGGGAGGGAGTCTCATATCTTTGCGCCACTGCGCCATTGTGACACATGGAGGTAGAGGGAGCCGAGGACCATCGAATGGAGGTGAGGAGAGGGGCGGGGAGGAGAGGAAACGCTGCTCTCTGCGCTCGTTCTGTCGTCATCTCTTCTCTGTGCCGTTTGTGTGTTGTCTGAGTCAGGATGGTGCTCTTGAGGGAGAGGGACAGCTGAAGCGAGCGCGCAAGGACCCCTCTGACGTAGAGGAGGGGGAAGAAGTTTCAGGTGAGACCCCAGGCGCACCATCACGAGCCTTTGGCAGCATTCCCACACTTGCACGAGGGTTTGTCGTGTCTCTGCGTGACCTGTGTGCAGGTGAGCGCCGTGACGACGGTCGCAGGCACAAGAAGCACAAGAAGCACAAGCACCGCGACCACGACAGGGACAGAGGGGATCGCAAGGACAGAAAAGCCAAGAAGAAGGTACGTCACCTCACCCACAGCCTCCCCCCCTGTCTCCCATATGACCATTGCCCTCTCTCTCCCTCCCTCTCTGTCCATCATATCTGCAGGAGAGGGAGGACTCTTACGAGGACTACCATCGTGACCGCGATCGTGACCGTGATCGCGCCGACAGCAGCCGCCGTGGCGGGGGTGACCGCTACTACGACGACGGCCGACGAGGGGGAGGCGACTACCGCCCTTCGTACGACAGAGAGAGCGGCTCACACTACCGCGGCCGGCGCGATGACCGGTCGGCGTATGACTTTCGCCGTGAGAGGGACAGGGAGAGGCGGGACGATCGCGAGTGGAGGTATCGCGACAGAGGGGGCGACAGGGAGAGGGACAGGGAGAGGGGACGGGGCGAGAGGGACAGGGACAGGGACAGGGACAGGGAGAGGGCGCAGCAACAGCGACAGCAGATGGACGCTGCCAAGGACGAACAGAAGGTAACATCAGCGGGGAGGAGGGAGTAGGGATGGGTGGTAGACCTGATTCAATGTGTGCCGCCTCTGTCTGTGTCTGTCTGTGTGTGTCAGGGTGAGTTGAGCACGGCGGCTGACGACACGGTGGCCAAGGAGCCGACCCACGACGAGCAGAAACCGCCCATCATCGCAAAGCAAAGTACCACCCACCAGCCACAGCCACACCCCTCGCACCGGACCATTCTCCCTCTCTCTCCCTGCCTCTCTGCCTGTCTGTCTGCGCTCAGTTTCCTACGACAACGACGAGGAGCTGCCCGACGCCGCCCACATGATGGGGGCAGATGGTGAGGAGGAGGATGAAGAGGAGGAAGAGGACGAGGCGGCCTTTCTCGAGAGAAAGCGGAAGCGGCGCGAGGAGCTGCTCAAGAAATACCAGGAGGCCGCTGCTGGCGGTGCGACAGGTACGCTTGTGGGAGGGGGGAGGAAGGGATGGCGAGGACAGCGCGGCTGGACGAATGGATCATGTGTGTGTCCGTGTTTTGGTTGATGTGCAGGTGAGGGCCAGGTGTCTTCTTTGGTCGGTGATAGTGGTGTCGCTAAGCGTGTGGCTGAGGTACATGTGGCTACCACGGTTGATGCGGGCCTGACTGTCACTAACAGTGAGGCCCTTTTCTCACAACAACACAATCATGACCACAATGGTGCTGGTCGTGGTGATCGTATCCATCACACCAGGACAGCAGAAGAAGGAGGCCAAGGACCACCTGCTGCGGAAATGGAACAAGAGCGGGACAAGGCTAAGGGAGAGGGAGAGGACGGCCACATATCGCCACTCGAGCCTGGGTAAGCCACATGCACACGGCCACAGACTTATTGCAAAAGAGCCAACACAACCACAACCACGTCATGTGTGTGTCTGTCTGTGTGTGTGTGTCATCAGAGAGGTGTTGGCTGACACCGAGTTCGATCACATGTTTGAGAACCCCCCCACGCCTTCATCGCCATCGGCAAGTCTCGTGGACGAGCCCAAGGACACCGCATCAGCAGACGCCGACAAGCCCGAGAAGGGCGGCGACACGGGCTCCGCGGCAGATGGTACCTCTGCTGCTGCTCGAGCTGCTGCATCCTACCTTCCAAAAGAGGTACGTCACATTAGACGGATGGATGGATGGACGGATGGACGGTGTGTTGTGTGTGTGTTCAGTTGGAGGCGTTGAAGCAGAAGCTGCAGGCCGAGAAGATGCGCCTGCGCAACTTCATCATCAAGCAGAAGGAGGCATACGAAAGCAAACGCGACGAGGTACCCTTCCACCTCTGCCACCACCGCCACCCACTCATCATATGTCTCGCTCTCCCCCCTCCCTCTCAACAAACCCACCAGGAGGAGGGCAACGAGCCAGACGCAGAGAAGGCGCAGCCAGCAGCACCAGCAGCCCCAGCGGCAGGCGATGAGTCTGAGGAGGAGATCGAGGTCGACGAGGATGAGGATGACATGTTCAGCGCCAATGTGGCCAAGAAGCGCGTCAAGAAGGTCAAGAAGGGGGCCGTGCAGGTGCCCCTCGACGTCAACCCGCTCGACCTCAACCCCAACTTGGCCGACAACTGGGACGACCAGGATGGATACTACCTGGTACGTTTGTGTGCGGGCGGGTGCAGAGGGAGGCATCTGTGGATGGGTGGGAAATGGTGTGATGTGTGATGTGTGTGTGTGTGTGCAGGCGCGTCCTGGTGAGGTGATGGACGGCCGGTACAAGGTTCTGCAAGAGTGCGTCGGCAAGGGCGTCTTCTCGTCTGTCGTCAAATGCCTCGACACCGTCGAGTACGTCACACACACACACACACACCCTTCCCCCCCCCACCACACACACACGAAGGCATTCGTTCATTCCTTGTCTCTGTGTGTGCGTGTGGTGTGGGGTGGGTGGCTGCAGTGACATCGAGGTGGCGGTCAAGGTCATCCGGAACAACGAGATGATGCGCCAGGCGGCCAAGAAGGAGATGGAGATCCTGCGGCTCCTCAACTCGACCGACAAGGAGAACAAGCGACACGTCATCCGGCTGCTGCGCGAGTATGAATTCAGGGGCCACCTGTGTCTCGTGTTTGAGTGGATGTGGGGCAACCTCAGAACAGCCGTCAAGAAGTAAGACAACACACACACGACGCGCCCTCCCCTGTGTGTGCGTGCGCTCATCCCTCTCCCTCTCTGTGTGTGTGTGTGTCAGGTATGGGCAGGGTCGCGGGCTGAACGCCCACGCGGTGCACTCGTACACCAAGCAGCTGTTCATTGCGCTCAAACACTTTGCCAAGCAGAAGATCATGCACGCTGATTGTAAGACAACCACACACATACACACACACACACACATATGGGTCTCTGACCTCCGCCTCTCTTTCTGTGTCTGTGTCCGTTGCCTTCGTCCGTTCAGTGAAGCCTGACAACATTCTGCTGAATGAGCGGTTCTCGAGCATCAAGATCTGCGACCTGGGCAGTGCATCTGACGTATCGGAAAACGAAATCACTGGTACGTCAGTCACTCACCTGACACACAAACAGAAACACAGCCAATGGGAACACACATGTGCATGTGTTTGGTGTCGGTTATGTATGTTATGTGCAGCGTATTTGGTGAGCCGTTTCTACCGTGCGCCCGAGATCATTTTGGGGTGCAAGTACGACACCCAGATCGACGTGTGGAGCGCCGCGTGCACCGTGTTCGAGATGGCCACTGGATCAGTGCTCTTTCCGGTATGTGAGACGCCTACACACACACACACACAGAGAGAGAGAGAGAGAGCAGAAGGGGCAATGGCGTGTGTGGATGTGTGTGGGGGGGATGCAGGGGCGTACGAACAATGACATGTTGAAGCAGATGATGGACTACAAGGGCAAGTTCCCCAAGTCCTTCATCCGCAGCGGGAAGCTCGCCGTCAACCCGCCCTCCGGGCCCGCGCACTTCACAGAGGGCCCGGCCTACGACTTTCTCTACGTCGACAGGGACCCCTTCACCAAACAGGTATGCCACGCCCATGAGGCAGATGGGACGGACGGCGTGTGTGGGCGGGGGCTCTCACCGGGCTCCTCTCTCTCTCTCTCTGTGTGTGTGTGTGTGTGTGTGTTTTGTTTGTGCAGGTACGTGTGGCTGCGTGAGTGAGCAGGAGGCCCACGATAAGAGTGTGTGCGCCACAGCTGCAATGCATCCATTCACAAAACCTCATCCAATTGTCCTGTATGTGTCTGTCTGGTCTGTCTGCTCTGCGTGTGCACTGTTGTCTTGTCAGGAGGTGACGAGGGTGCTGCACAACTGCCCCCAGACCAAGAACATGGGCGACATTCTCATACAGAAAACAAACCTGCAAGGTCAGTCAGCCGGGGCACCCCCTCTATACCCACCACACACGCTCTCTCTCTGGCTCTCTCCCTCTCTCTCTTTCTGCGTGCAGGCAATCCCGCCAAGGTGGCCTTGGTGAAGCGGAAGGTCAAGCAGCTGGGCGACTTGCTGGAGAAGTGCACGGCTCTGGACCCCGCCAAGCGGCTGCGGCCCCACGAGGCCCTCGACCACCCCTACCTCAAGGAGCCCTTCTCGCTCGACACCTCCGGGGGCGGCCAGTCCAACCACACTTCTTCGCGCCGATGAGCGGAATCAACGAGACGACATTATTGGGCCAGGACAGGAAGGGGAGGCCCATGCTGTTGCTGCTTTGTACCATGTTTGTAGGCTATCTCTGTATCTCCATAGCAGATGGTCAGAGGGAGGGGACCGACCGTGGCCATGGCTGGCGGCAGTTTTTGAGAAACCGAGACACATTATGCAGTGGGTGACCTTCGTGTGGTGGGGGTGGGCGGGGGTGTGTGGGCGATGGTTCTCTGCTGCTCGGTGCTGACGTGTTGTTACAGGGGAGCTGTGCTGTGTCGCCACGCGAGCAGCCATTGGACGGATCGTGCACACGACACGAGAAGGGGCGAGGCGACCGACGGAGGCAAGACAGCAACACGAGCACATAGGCAGCATGGGTGTGTATGCGGGCGGGGGGGTTCGTTGATGGATTGACAATTACAGGAGGGCGGCGGCTGTGTGTTGGCTCCGCGCGCGGCGACCGGTTCACACATCCATCGACCGACACAGGGAGCCACAATCCATTCATCAAACCGACGAACGAACGAACGAACGACACACTCGACGTGTTATCTTCGTGTTGTGTGGTGAGGGCACTGTTCGGCCGACGGTGGGCGTCGAGACGTCAGTCACCCCCCTTCCCTCCCTCTCTATAATGCTATGTGATGGTATTTTCCCGCCACAATACGATATCGATCGATCCATACGTTCACACCGACTTGGCTTGGCTTGTATGCTGTGCTCACTGGCTGCAGTCCTCGAATCCCTACCCACAGAGCCAAGGTTGGGTGGGCACACCTCCCTGACTCACCTGTCCCCCTTCTCTCTGCAGCAGTGTAGATGGCGTGAGGTGGCGTGCTGTGGTACTCTAGCTAGCGTAACTGAAAGTCTATTGTATATGCCGGCCGGGTCGGTCTGGGTGTCTGTCTGTCTGTCTGTCTGTCTGTTTCCCTGCATCTCTCTCTCTCTCTCTCTCTCTCTCTCTCTCCATGTGTGTGTCCTTGCGTGGCGTGCGATTTTCATGGCGCAAGAATGAGTGGACGGACGGAACTGTTGCTGCATGGTGCGATGCGCTGCGCGCGTGTGTGTGAGTGAATGCATCTCTACCTACCTGCTTCGCTCTTTCCGGAGCTTCTCTAGCAATTCACTACACTCTAATTGACCAAACCACAGCGAGCGTCCCTCCGTCACCCACACGCCATACAAACACACACACACACACACACACAACACGCGCCTTGCGATGCATCTGCTCCATCCATCCATCCAGCTGCTCGACGCACATAAGACGGCCTTTCTGTGTTCCTACAAGCCGGCAGCCGTGAGGAATGCGTAAGCGACTGACAGCCACGAAGGCCACCGCCCCCCTCCCACAACTCCACTGACGATTGCTGCCGCTGCACATAACCGGACACGCAGCCTACACACACACAGATGACACGTGCTCAGCAGAGAGTTCGTCTGTGTGAGTGTTGGGAGGGCAAGGGGATTCCATGGATACCTGCAGTGACACCACACTGGTGCGATTGGCGTTGAGCGGTGCGAGGGAGGCCTCGAAGGCCAGCAGCTCCCCGGAACAGCAGTTTGCAGCCGAGAATGGGTTCCTCATGACGCCCTCTCGACACATACACCCCTCATGCAACGTCGTGTTGTCGCCCGCACTCTTGAGGCAGTTCTGCAGGGTGATGGCGTCCAGTTCGGCCGTGCCCTTGTATAGCTCCTGACCCAATTTGGCCACGCACATCTCTGCCGCGGGCGGCAAAGTGCCGTGGAGGTCCCGATATGAGTCGAAGCCCAGCAGCCGGATGACGTCGAGATTGGGGTTGTTGTCGGTCTCGGTCAGCCACGCATTTCCCAGGTTTGGCTCTCTGTCTTCGTCTGCTGCTGTCGTGATATTTGCGGACTCGTTCTTGATGCCTTGTGAGGTCTTTGCAATGCTCGCCATGGTGGAAAGCTCCTCAAGGGGCGCCTTGACGGCAAGGATGCCTGCATCTGTGGGTGCGGCCTTGCGGAAGGAAGATGCCGACGGCGGTAGGCGGTTCGCACCACAGCGGATGGCCAAAACCGCCGCAAAAGTGACGACCAAGAGTGTCGCTGACGACCACGCCATCCACACACACGCGAAAGAGCCGCGCTTTATACCATCGATGCTCCTCCCCCTCTGTAAACGCTTTGGCCCGGATGGAGCTCGCTAAGCTCCCTGAAGAAAAACCTCTAGATCCTTTCGTTTTCCGCCTTTCCCTCCGTTGTTTGGTCCGCGGATCGCACGAAAAGCATCAGGCATGACATCCGCAGGCACCGGTCGTGACCCGCTGCTGTCGGGCGGGCAGCGCAGATCCTCGCTGTTCAAGGTCCTGACGGCGGGCGCCCACGCCGAGGAGAGGGACGACCGTTTCTGGGAGGACGATGACGAGGAGTACCATGAGAATATGTACGCGGCCACGGAGGATGCGGTGGAGCTCCACACCCGCACCCACGTCAACACACGGGATATGAGCGTGATGAGCGTCAAGGACCTCGGCAAGTATGTCAAGCGCCACACCATCCTCTCGGCCGGCGTGCAGCGGGAGCTCGAGGAAAAGTGAGCGGGCGGGCGAAAGATAGATCCATGGAGAGAATGGACGGATGGATGGATGGATGGGGAGGTAGATCTGCGGCTGTGCGGGGTGGTGGATGGATGTGTTGTGGTGTTTTCGTGTTGTTGTGCAGGAACCCCGGCGCCCTGGCGTTCCTGCAGTCGTTCGGAGGGATGCTCGTGCAGGTAGGGTATTGTCCCCCTCTCACCAACGCACTCGTGTGTGTGTGGCTTCCTGTCCATGTGTGTGTGGTGTGTGTTGTGTGTCAGTTGTTGATCTTCGCCGTGTGCGTCAACATCCAGAGCTTCAACCCCAACGTGGCGGCATGGGCCAAAGTCATCCCCGAGACCGGCAAACGCGGCAAACCATTCTTCGACGGTGCGTGGGAGTGGGTGTGGGGCTGAGTGCGCTGGATTGCATTGCGCGTGTGGTGCGGTGTGGTGTGGTGTGGTGTGTTGTGTTGTTTAGGTGTGGTGATGGCGTCCGCGAACGTGTTGAGCCTGTGTGTGATGATCAACATATCCTTCCTGGCCGAGGGATTCTCCGGACTCGCCGCATGCTTCAACCCACGGGTCAGTCGGCTGGCGCAGGAAACACACCCAACACGCAGTCCTTCCCCTTAACC